TAACTACAACATGCCATTTAATACTTAAATATTCACTACTAATGAGTTTCTCTCTCTATTAAGGGCTCCTTAAAAAAAATATCATTTGACCTATTCATTTGTCATGTCTTTACCTGTGCAATCAGTCAAGCAAAATGTCCTAAGTCCTGCCAAATGTTCAACCTCTTTTAATTATATTGTGGTAATTCAAGCATCCATTTTAAGATGCTGTACAATTCATTAAGGAAAACCAAATCAATCACGTAAAATGGATAATTTTATTAAATAATTCATTTTTAGGATTCCCCCAATATTCAGCATTTTACTTTTTGTACAAATGTAAACTTGTAAGTTTTATCTAACAGGTCTCTAAATTTATTTTTAATTGCATTTTCCCTTGTGTTCTGTACATTGAGGTGTAGTCATAGTTAAGTTTAATAGCAAAGTCACAAAGAAAAGCAACTGTTTCTTATTTAAAAAGCATTTTACTAAGTATAGTTAGTAAAAACTAAAAGTAACTTAATATTTCTTAAACAGTGAAGTGATACAGTAGTGTCAACATGACAACAATTCTAAAATCCTTTTCCAATGACTGTAGCATGTGATATACTTGTGTTGATTATTTTTTCCTTTAAAAGTAAGCTTTTTTCATATTTACACTTGAATTGCCTTAATCTTATTCTTGTTTACTGAGGTTTCATATCAAGCATTTATACTACACTCAAATAAAACTATCTGCTATTGAGGCACTTCTTACTATTTTATCTTGTCATATATTAACAGGTAACCAAAAAGGAAAATGATCTCTCCACACCTGAAGAGCTAGATTTGAAAAACTGCAGAAAATTTCTTTTGATAATAGGAGTGTAAAAATTTAGCAGGAAACCACATGGTTTTAAGTTAAAAGACATATTAGCTTGTTTATGTTAATGCTTTTGAGGCTGTATTTGCACAGAATCACAACCTCCACTAAGCTCATATATACCAGGTGTTCATAAGCAACAACAATTGCAGCATCCTAGCCATTTGCACTATCCCCAGAAATCAAACTGCTGTGGATTGGTTTGATTTATAAGGCAAAGCATGAAATACAAACAGCTACTAACATTAAAATCCAGAGAATTACATCTTGTAAAGCTACAGTAACAGACACTGTTTTGCATATAATGCATATTTATACACCCTGGAAACATATCACTGCTGACAAACTTAACAATGTAAATTTAAAACATTGAACAAAATGTTAGTAATTAACTTTCAAATACCAATAGCAACACCTCCATAAGCCAATTTCAAATCCATACACTCAGCTCTTCATGAAAAATCCTCCTCATACAATGTTGTAATCTTTTGTATAACTAAGCAGCACAGTTTCAAAATAAACCTAAAAAACTGAGCTCCTAGTGGGAAGCCAGGAGGCTCTGGCCAAGAACTACATACAAGGGATCAGCTTCTCTCAAAAATAAGGTGCCTCTGGAGTGGCACAAAATCAGGGATTGTGAGATTTGAAGGATTTCAGAAAAAAAAAAAAAAATCAGTTTTATTATTTAGGGATCAGCTGAGCAATGGCCACTCTTGGATTTCAAGGCGGTTTCTTTTAGTCCTCTTTTTCAACGCGATATCCAGTTACTTAGTTCTTCAGTAACTGCCACCAGCTACAAAAGGCAAGCTTCCTCAAACCTTTCAAACCAGGGAGTCTTTCTGCATAGTCTTCCCTACTTTAAAGAAATTTTATCTTCAGTCACTGTTGCAATGAACAGTAAAGAATAAGGCCTCATATCATGGCATTTGTAATGTGGGTTTTTTAACATATTTAATTACTAACACATGGGCACTTACCTGTTTATACCTTTAGATAAGTGATAAACTGGCAGCAGGTACCTCTTACTTCTCAACACATTAAGCATTGAGAACAGAGTGAACTAGAAGCACTGAATAAACATAGGTATAATACTAAAGAGAATTTGCTAATTCCCTTAACTCAGAGTAGGATGGCTCCAAGGCTTACAGGCATCTTGCAGTTATTTGAATGTATCACATTTTGGGTATGATTTGGAAAGCTAGTAATTATTGTTAAATTTGCAAGAAGAGCAAATTGAGAAAGGCTATGTTTAAGCCAATAGCACAATGGTTGTTGCCAAGAGAAATCCACAGCATTAATAGGCAAGTGTCAAAACCAGAAAACATTGCAGAAAACTATAGACAATGCCAGCAGTTACTCTAATTCCTAATCCTGCCCCTTTTACATCAGCATTTAGATTTAATTCTGCAGAGTGAGTGTGAGATCACACTGATGGAAAATCTGAAACAGTTTTAAATTACAAGTTATAATTAAACACAAAAATACATCACTACATGAATGACTTGTTCTTGCCCCTGAACAGACATGGGCATATAGTTACACAAGTTATTTCTTTTAGAGTTGAGAATACTGAGCTTTTTTTTCTTAGGAAAAGTATCAAGTTTTAAAAAATAGCAGAGAAGACTAAAGAAGTTATCTGATACTTCTGAGTGCCATGAAGCAGACAGATGGGGTTCTCCACATTTTTTGTACTACAGTAACTGTGTTACCCATTCCATCTTGATAGCAGACTTCACACCGCACAGTAAAGCTTTAATGCTGTTGGAGAGGTAACAAACCCAGCCCCCTTTCTAGGCAACCTTGTCACATAATCTGAATTTTAGTAATAAACCTCGTTCCCTGGCATGTTAACTCTCTGCAGCATCTGTCACTGCTATGAATGGTTGATCATAAGTACCTCTGTAGTCATCTCAATGCTATTAAGCAGATGGCAGCGCTAAATCCAAATGATGTAGTACATCTCCCTGGTGGACTTTGTTTCCATACACTACTATTATTCTACAATTCCTCAGTGATAAATCTTATGTATTCTAGAGAACATTAAACAGTGAACTGACAGCGCCAATTGATTTATTAGCATCCATTTCCCTTTGCTCTATTATTGTCTTCACAAACACTTGTGCAGATTGTGTATGAGCCACTAAGAGACAGAAGCACTTTTGCTCAATTTGAAACACATTTCAGAGAGTTAAAATAAATAGAATTTTTCTTCATGCTGAAAACGTTTAAACTGGTCTACAAATTTAAACGAAGACCCAACTAAATGCTCCTACTTCCTCCACAATATTCCTTGAGTCTTCCTTATAAAATTGGTCTAGCATTAACAGCAGGCCCACTACTTTTTGTAATAAAACCAAGTAAAGAATAATTCTAGACAGATTTGGAGAAGTCCTTTAAGGGTCAGGTGGGTTTTTTGAGCAAGCATATCTATGCCCTGGTAAGGGGAGCTGATAAATCTACATGCAAAGCAGATGTCAGGTGTAAACAGCTTTGTTCTCAACTTTCCTGAACTTAGTGAACAGTTCTGTACCATTTCAGATAAGGTTATGTTAACTCAAATATATAGCAGAAGGTAAAGTAGTCTGAGCGGTATCTGTTTATCTGAGCGGTATCAATATCACTAAATCCTTTGTTATTTCCCTTTCCTACTGTCATCATCTTGCCAGTGGGCAAGGTTTGAAGCTTCAGCACCACAAATAACCAAAGCAGTAATGTCAACTACAGCATTTTATTTTACCCTTTTCTCAACATTCTTGCTTCAACCATTTGAAGTTTATTGGCATAAAAGTTAGAAGCCATTCTCAATGACATTACAAAATCTACTACTGGTTCAACTATGAATGCTTTAAGAGAAGAGTGAGAATAAATTTCAACTTAGTAAAAGGTGCACTGCATTCCCTATCCAGAGGTGCACATTAGAAGTACCTAATGATCAGGGTGATCAGCCAAGTTGCTAAAGGTGCCATGTGATATTTGCCATTCAGCTCAAACTAACATCTAATACAAGTAGTTTGTACTTCATAACCTTTTTCCCACTGTTGGGGAACATTAGTATTCCTTATAATTCATGGCATTTGCAAATAGTAACGTCTTAAAAAAAATCCAGATAAAAAATCACAACTGCTTAAAAATACGATTGGGAATGAAGTGGGACAAGGAACAGAAACAAGAGATACAAATCTGTCACAGAAACAATTCCACAGAGGACTAAAACGAAAGGCTGTACTTTTTTTTATAGCCAAATAGAGGTAAAATTCTTAACTATTCTCATATTTAAGAAGGAAACACAATCAGCTCTGTTTGCTCTGCCATAGTGAGACCTCACCTGGAGTACTGCATCCAGCCCTGGAGCCCCCAGCACAAGAAGAATGTGGACGTGTTAGAGCATGTACAGAGGAGAGCAACAAAAATGATCAGGGGACTGGAGCACCTCTCTTATGAAGACAGGCTGAGAGAGTTGGGGTTGTTCAGCCTGGAGAAGGCTCCAGTGGGACCTTATAGAGACCTTCCAATACCTGAAAGGGGCCTATAAGAAGGCTGGGAGAGATTTGTTTACTAGGCCATGTAACAGCAGGACAAGGGATAATGGTTTCAAACTAGAGAAGGGTAGATTTATGTTGGATATTAGGAAATTGTTCTTTAATATGAGGGTGCTGGATCACTGGAACAGGTTGCCAAGAGAGGTGGTAGAGGCCCCATCCCTGGAGACATTCAAGGTCAGGCTTGATGGGGCTCTGTGCATCCTGATCTAGTTGGAGATGTTCCTGCTTATTGTAGGGGGGTTGGACTACATGACCTTTAGAGGTCCCTTCCAACCCAAGATTTAATACCTTTAATAAAGATTATTTTTTTTTCTCCTCTCCCCGTCCCGGCTCCCTCCCAGAAGGAATTTGAATTAAATCTTATTGAATTTCTTGAACTTCTGAAAACTTTGATTTGGCATCACTAAAACTCTGTTTCAAGTTCTCATTTCTACTTCTTTTCAACCACTCAATAACTTGACTTTCATACTTACGTGATACCTGACAAAACCCTGTGAGTTATTTTTAATGAGCCACTTAACATTTTCACTGTTTAAGATAAAAATGAAAAAAAAGTAAAACTAACTTTCTAACAGTAGAATATTTTGAATGTAGGTGTAGCTGATCTAGAGACTTACCTTTGTGCTTGAGTGCTATAGCTGTTATCATAGGAATCGTAGCTTTGTTCATCATAAGCAGTTCCATAACCATCATCATACTCCTGAAATGATATAAAAGATAGAGAATATTAACCATAATCATACTCCAGAAACATATGAATGCAGAGATAAATATGAAAAGACAATACTCTCCTGAAATTCATATATAATATGTACACCATGGAAAGGCAAAATCTTAATGCTATCAGTAGATACTGCTGCCATTTAGGAGTGCAGACACAGAGTAATTATTTTCAAGGTATTCTGAACTATTTGCAACATGGCTAAAAAAGACTGGGTTTAGTTAAAACCAGCTTGTGCAGAGACTGCAAATGCTTTGTGTATCTCTGTGCTTGAATTAGAGAGGAGTGAGCTACTGATCTTCCTGAAAGCTCTGGGAAGCACCTGAGGAACAAAGACATCTAAACAAACATTGTGCAACTTAGGTAGCTGACTTATTTCTTGACCATAAAGTCAATATTCTATGTAGACTGTGGATGGGAAGGAAACTCCTTAGAGATAACACTAGTAATAATGACAGTTTTACTTCCTTGAGTGTCCTCTGTGTACTCTTGAACTTGTGGGAATTTAGCAACCATTAAAAAACTTAAAGTAAGGATTTCTTACTCCTTTAACAATATCCACACTACTGAAGTATACACTATAACAGCACTTTTCCCACAATAGCACTGGATTTAAATTCCAAGTTGGACAAACCATGACTCTGGCTACAAGTCATACAGAAGTTTGAGACAGAAACAAGTGACAACGATGTTGTGTTTTCCCAAAGAAGGATAAAGGATGGAAATTCAACTGTCAGAAATTTACTGTTTCATCCAACAATAAACCCAACTGAACTAAACACATGAGAATTAGAAATAGCACTCCCCTTGTACTCATTCCAAGGAAATCCTAATATCCAAATCCTAAACAAATGCACTAATGTATATTTAGGGGTATCTTGTCCAGTTTTGACAGAAGAGAATGACCTAATGAGAAGACACTTTGAAGATATCAGGCTCCAGAAAAATGGAAATCGGGCATCATCTGATATGTGATGTTTTCTGAATAAGTATGTATCAAATCCTGACTATGTAAGGGTAAAGTCTTATGGAAGAACACTCTTTCCCAGGAAAAGAAACCTTGAAGAATCTTTCAGCAATGACAAAACAAAGTCAGCTAGCAGCATCAGTTAGGTCAAGATGGCAAATGCTGGCTTGTCCAACCCTAGTAGAAAACATCTCCAGTGACCGACAGCTTTCTAAGCATTTTAAGGAAAGCTTCCTATGAAGCCAATGACATCCTCAAAACAACTGATAGGAAGCTGTGAACTCTCTGAAGTTTTTTTTAGCATTTTTCCAGTCATTTGAAATTGCTTATATGGAAAACCAGGCAGTCTGCAAATCCATACTGCTTTACCACTGCTAGATCAGGGAACATGATTGCTTCCCAGCAGTGATTAGTAGAAGGATATCTGAATAATTGCAGGCACAAATGAGTGACAGCCTATTCATTAGTCTGGAAGAAGTAACCAGGATTCTTCCCATTGTCTCCTCTGAAGTTATCCAAAGACAAACAGTCCCACTTGAAGCAGAAACCCATTGTTTTCTATTTCAGTAATTCACTGTCCTGAAACTGAAAATTAGAGCCTTAACATTTTCTTTGCTCATCTGATATGGATTTTCCTTGATAAGCCACACACGAAACCCACAAAACCATTGCCTGGCATTTATTAGGAACAAACACTTCATTGCTTATTGATGCAATACACAGACATCTGTTAACAATGGAGACATTGATCAACAGCAGAAGCTGCCTGAGACAACTTATTTACCTTGTTCCAGAACATTTACATGACATTTGGTTTCTGGTCATAGAACCTCCCAACTGTGAAGCAGCCATCCCTAAGAGGGACTCCTAACACACATAGTGACAATATACTAATACAGACAACTAAAATTAAACTTTTAACATGTCAGCAGAGCTTTGCCACTAAGGATTTCTTGGAGAATTCTTAAGAAATCAGTTCTATTATTCACATTTATCTTAACTACTTTACTAAAAAAGCAACCATGAAACAAAAGGGAAAGACAGGCTACTCAGAAGTTATGGTGTATCTTTGACTTCTCGAAGGCAAAAGAAAAAAGTAAATTTGGAATGGGAAGACCCTTAGCAAGATGCCCAGCATAATTAAAAGAAAATTTTGTGGGAGGTCTGTGTTGTATCAGACTTAAGTGTCTTAGCATTTCTCTTCTGAAGCAATGCAATAACTTAAGTCCTGCATTACTGTATAGTTGAAAGTGGCTCTTAGCTTTGAATCAAAAGATACCTGTTTTGTAGTTCATTTGTGGGATTCTCATCACTTAACATTAAAAAGATGAACCTGTGCTGTTGCCATTACTATAGTCTGTTCAAATAGACCAATTCTTCCATTTTGTTGCTGTATTTACATTTATAAAAACAAATTTCCTTTAAAGGTAAGATAAACTTCATGCACAAAACACTACAACAACAGGTTTTAAGAGCTGCTCTCAGTGGCTTGTTCTGCTACAAGATGATTCAAATTCCAAAATATTCATTTACCAAGTATTATTCTGTTGAAATAGCAATTAGACAAGGGCAGCTGAAGTCTGTTTCTGAGCATTCCCTGAATTAGGTCTGACTTTAGAAATTCCTCATTCAGTAGGTTACAAAGAAGGTTGACCCAGACAATGTTTCACATTTGAGATTAAATCTACACTACTTGAGCATCTTCCTTCTGAAAGACAGGGCTCTTTGTGGTTTCAGTGTTTTCTTTATCTTTATTTAGTATCTAGGTGAAATATCCTTGGTCACATAGGATATTTCATTACTATAAAATATCATACCAACTTAAATGAAAATAACTACAGTTTTTACACACATATAATGAAAGCAGGAGAAAATTTAAATATGCACATATCTACTAAAGTAGATCATAGATTCACTGACAGGCAATGCTGTACAGATTGCTTTCTGCATAATACAGAAAGAACACCACCATTGGAAGAGTATTTTAATTGTATTTTCCTTGCTGATTTTTCAATGCCTCAAGTATTTCTAAAAGCATTTATTTTTGTATTTAAAGCCATTATGCTTCACGTGGATGACAGCATTTTTGTTCCTACCACCTACCAAATGCAACACAACAGACTGTACTACAATTAGATGTCTATAAAAAACTCTTCCTAGAAGTACTCTGTAATCAGAAAGTTTAGTGGTGAAGCTCTCCCACACCAAAATAAACAAAAGCTTAAAAAAGATCATATGTTTATTTCATGAATGGAAGCATTTTGCTTCTGTTATTTATTATTCTACTTTTCAAATAACTTAGAAAACGAGCTCTTATCGTATTGAATATGATCAAAAGATGCACTGTTTGGGCTTTCAACAAAAATGTAGAAAAAGTTGAGCTGAAAGTGCTGAAGTTCTCTAAGTCCTCTCAAACACACACAACATTTGAAACATTAACCAGGAAGGTATCAAGAGTGATCCTCATGTGTTCTTCCCCCAAAGTAACAGAACAGGTAGAATGACAAGACAGATCTTCTGAAAAGAATATTAAAATTCCTCTGGAAAAATTTCAAACCTTATTAGTAACTCCTTTATTCAGCCAGCCTATAAGCCAGAATCCCATTACATTTCCGCTCAGAGAGCTCCTGCCTGCAGTTGTCCCAGTGACAGTGCCCACAGTTGATATAAATCCAAAGAGCAGCCCTGGTAGCAGGAATAGTTCAGTGCAAAATGCAGACATTTTTCATGAACAGAACCAAAGGCAACGTGTAAATATGTACCCTTCAAATATATTAAACAGTAAGTCACTACCACAGATCAAAAAATGATAAAAAGCAATGAAAGTAATCCTTGTCAAAACCTCTGCGCTACCCGAAACATTATAAATCATGCTAAGCCTTGCTCATCAGTGTTTCTTTCTAATAATTAAGTACTCTAAACATACCCTTGTTCATGGGGAATAGGAAATGGAGGCTTTAAGTTTTACTCTGCTGGCAATGACAATGACAGACTAGTGTTCAGGCCCTCTTTAGAGGAAATTAACAATGTTCCAAAGAACCAGACAGAGAAACAGGAAGAAAGAAGAGGGTAAAAAGTTCATTTCATCAAAAAGGCCATTTGCAGTGCTGGAAAAAAAAAATCATGAAGTCAATAAGGAATAATTTTCCAGCTCTCCCCCACTAAGGAAATCCATTTATGGCAAGAAATTAAGGCTGTTATCACTACAACTAAAAGGCTATTGTTTCTTTTCCTCATCATTCTCTGAAATTAATACTTACAATAGTACTTTATCACAGAATACTGGAGGAACATCTTCCTTTTAGATAAAAACTATCACATTGTAAAAAATTGTTTGTGCAGAGTAACTTGAAGGAGAAATAACATAAGACAACATCAGTGAAGTGCAATGTAGAATTTTTTTTGCAAATTAGAATTGCAAAGGGAAGGAACAGCCTTTTCGTGACGTGGGAATAACATCTCCCCAACATGTACTCCACAGGGAATATGAAACAATCAAAACAAATATGGGTAGCTACTACCATCTAAAGTGTGAGTAATAACATTAAGGGCATTAGCAGCAAACATGAACAGAGTGAGCTCTTATTTGGTAGATTTTCATCCAGAAAGGGTGTAATGTATATTCAACTAGAACAAACAAGATATTGCTGGAATGAGAGATGTACTAGTGGATTGCTTTTCATGCACCTCCAAAAAAAGAAGAGTTACTAATGAATATAAGCAGTAAAACCAAGGTACCATCAGGCCAAAACAATCCTGTCTTTCTATATGCCACAGCAGGGAGCAGTGCCAGAATAACACCAACAGAGAAAACAGTCAATTTAGATGAGCAATTTAAATTAAACCACTTTAAAATAATATATACGTTATTTACACATAAGTGAACTTTTAACGTCAGGACAGGCAGGTGGAAAAGATTTTCAGTCTTTCCTACAAAACATTGCACTGTTTCCACAGCCAAATTTGTCTGACTTCCTGAGAAAATGAAAAAGTTTTTCCATTCTCTCTCCACCTCATCCTGAAAACCTCAGGGAATGCAAGACTGAAAACCAAAGCAAAAAAAAAATAATGGAGGAACTTAAAATTAAAGCAAATTTTACACATTTATTCTTGCTTGTCCTAGCTACCATGAAAAAGAACATTGCAATTGTAAAAAAAAAAAAATGCCAAGAAAGAATGGTTTGATGTTATAAACTTGCTTTCCAGAAGTCTTATCCAAATTCACCCTGACTTTAAGAATAGTCTGAGCATTTCTGCAAACCCAGAACTCTGTAAATACATTGCTTAAAAAAAGCATAACATCTAAGTGGAAACCACAACATTATCCACAAAAGGTAACAAAGAGTGGAGAGGTTATTTCTCTAATTCTTCGTGAATGAAGCTACCTCAAGCCTCAAGTCAGGTACCCAAATAAAAAAGCTTCACACTTAAAGCAACTATGCAAATAAAAAACATTTGAAATTAATGTTGCAAGTTATTAGGAAACTATTGACATTCAGAAGGCCAAGGTAAATTAAAACATGATGTAAATGACCATTGCAAACTGACATTAAAATTAGACTTGAAACCAACTCAGGGAGAATTTAAATTATGTTTTCAAGTCTTATGTCATCTGGACTAGCCCTTACTTTCCCTAATATTTTTCCACCTTAACTCTAAGAAGCATTTATTTGTAAATTAAAAGCTTGTGTTGGTTTTTATATATAAATATGGAAGACAAAGTT